ACTGCATTCACAACTCCTTTTGGTCATTACGAATGGAATGTGATGCCCTTTAGATTAAAAAATGCACCTAGTAAATTTCAAAATATAATGAATAAAATTTTTAACTCTATTATTCATTTTTCTATAGTCTATATAGATGATATTCTCATCTTCTCCAGATCTATAGAAGAACACTGGAAGCACCTCTATGTATTCCTTGAGATTGTCAGACACAATGGTCGTGTTATCTCAGCCAGTAAAATCAAGTTGTTCCAAGCCTTAGTAAGATTCTTAGGATACAACATCCAACTATCCACTATTGTTCCTATCAGCCGATCTATCCAATTTTCAAATAAGTTCCCTAATGAGATCACGAATAAAACTCAACTTCAAAGGTTTTTAGGTTCCCTAAATTATGTTTCTGACTTCTATCAGGATCTTAGGAAAATCGCCTCCTCCTTGGACATATGTTCATACATCCATAGTTCAATAAGTCAAATGGTTCATTAAAACTTTGTCTTGCCTTGGTATTCCTTCGATTGATTCCTTCAAAATCATCCAAATTGATGCCTCTGACATTGGATGTGGTGGTATCCTACTTCAAAAACTTACTCCAGACTCCCCAGAGCAAATTGTTCGTTTTCACTATGGTATCTGGAAAAAGGCACAAACAAATTATAGCACAATTAAAAAAAAATTTTAGCTATTGTCCTGTATATCTCAAAATTTTAGAATGATATACTAAATCAGAAATTCTTATTAAAAATAGACTGCAAATCAGCAAAGTATGTTGTAGAAAAAGACGTACACAACATTGCTAGTAAGCAGATTTTTGCTAGATAACAATCTATTTTAAGTATTTTCGATTTTGACATCGAATATATTAAAGGCAGTAATAATCACATCCCTGATTTCTTAACCTGTGAATTTCTGCAAGAACCTCATGGCGAACAGGAAAAACAATAACCCTGCTACCTCTTTCAAAGCCGGGAGGGATACAGAAAAATAAAAACTTAGCCAAATATTTGCCCAAGAAAAGGCAAATTTGGATTAACAGTTAGCCTTGTCAAGCCCAAAACCTTTATCTTCTACTATCCAGATTACTAATCGTTTCCAACCCCTTGGTAATCCTAACTCAACACGACCTGTAGCCAAATCTACCACAGTGCCACCTAGCACTTTCCTCCAAATGGCCCAGCAGGCCCCAAGACTTGTTGTACCAGTCCAACCTGGCACTTCTAGCCAATTAGTAAATTCATATTCTCAACACCGACCCCAGTTTGTCCCTAAAGACCCAAAAGCTAACTACATCAAAGCTTATACCCAAAATATATTTGTTATTGAACCAGTCCATGCTCACTTAAGCAATCCAATGAACTTAGTAGTTGTTTACCTTGAGCCAGGATGGACCTTTATTCCATATGATCCTGAAAAGACCTTTCAATTTTACCAGGATATATTATTCTATACTCAGTCCATTTTTGTCAAGCTCATACCTGATAAAAATGATCCGAGTAAAGTCATTTATCATTCTTTAAATATTTTAAAAATTATTTCTCTCAAAGATTGGAGATCTCATCTTTCTTCACTCAAAGATTTACCCTACCATAAGAGAAAATTTAGTTACTATAATTACAAAGAATCATGGTATAAGATTATCCTCTACTAGAATGATTTTTTAGATCATTCTTGGTTCCTACAGTTTCATAAAGATTTCAAGAGTCAGATTTCATCTTGGTTCGCACAGTGGTGGTTTATTCATGGTCTCATTCCTGAAATCTTTTCAACTGATCTCCAAGATCAGATTATATCATTCTCCTCTGTTTATCGACCTAATAAACATGAGAGTCAGTTTCTTATTTTACGAACATTTATTTGCAGGTACAAAGTCCCATGGATATGCAAATAAAAATAGGAAATTATTAGTTTTAATGTCGCCAGACAATTCTATGTCAAATGGTGGCCCAGGTTCCAGCAAGGACCAATAGTAGACCTTGTCAAAAAGGAGTTCCCTGTCAAGGTTCCAACCCTAGTAGCGGTTCCAGCAACCTTAACCCTTGTAACTACAGCCAAGCAGATCATGCCTTCTCTTAGGATTTCTACTCCAGAAGAGCTCAAGAAATCCACTGCAAAAGAACCCAAGCAAAAGAAGTCCTCCTCTAAGGATTCTAGCAAGCAATCTTAGAAGAAGCACACTGCCCTCATTGAGCTAGCACAAAAACTTCTTCAACAAGCCGCTAGTGAAAGCAATTCCTCTACATCTTCACAAGCATCATGTACCCCTACATTGGATCCCTTCCAAGACAGTTAGGATCTTTATGCAGGATATGATAATCTGGTAGATATATCTACCCCATAATGGTATTTGTTCATATGTGTGATAGCTTAAATCACTACTTTCTTCATTAAAAGAAAGAAAAGTTGTCTATTACATATATCGATAAAGAATCATTTAGTACCCGGGCTCGTTCCCCTAGTAAAGTAGCCATCAGCCATCTGTCAAATATGTTTTCCACCGAAAGTAGATTCCTTCAGACAAATAGCAGGACCCATCTGCACCAGAAAGTCAGCATTTACCCTGGATAAAGAAATTCACTTCTACTTTCACACCGAAAAGCTAAAGTGAAATACTTTACCTAAAGTAAAAGCAGCCACAACAGATAACGGAGTAATCATTCTATTGATTCCTTCGGAACTCCTTACCCTTATATAAGGACTTCAGTATGCACCATCCAGGGCAAGCTTTGTCCCAGCTCTGAAAGCTTTTTCTAACAAAGCTCACTATACACACTATACACTATTCTCATATTGTAAGAAGCCTTCATAATGATGCAATTGAAGAGTCTCTCACTCCTATCCCACTACACCCACTAGCCCAATAATGCTAGTATTGTAAGTATTTTATTTTTGTTATTATAATTTGTATCTTGTTCTTATAAACAAGAATTTTTAAAGAATTTTTAAATTACCACTCTTATATTTACAACTTGTGATTCTTCTAAATCATATGTTTTTCCGCACTTGTTTCTATAAATTGGTATATATATATATATATATAGAGAGAGAGAGAGAGAGAGAGAGAGCTACTTCTTGGTGTGTGCCTGGTGCCCACCAAAGCACCAAGTCTACTTACCCACTACTGGACTATTCTACGGGCTGGTGGGAGTGGCAACATGGTTGTAGTGGGTGGCAATGGTGATAATGGTGGGTGTGGGTGGTGGTGGTGGGCGACGATGATGGTGGTTGGCAGTGGTGGATTATGGTGGTGGGCGAAGGAGAGGTGTTTCTGGGCAACAGTGTGATAGGTGGTGATGGTGGTAGTAGGTGTGGTGATGGTGGGTGATAGTGGTGGGCGATGATGGGTGGTGGTGGTTGGTGGTGGTAGGGGGTTAGTGACAGTGGTTGGCGGTGATGGTGGACAATGACGGGTGATGGGTTGTAGTAGTGGGTGGTGGTGGACAACAATGGTGGTGATAGGAGCTAACGGTGGGCAAATGAGGTATTGGGATGATGGTAATAGTGGTAATAAATATAAGAATAAGATGACGATAGTGGTGGGTGATGCGATAGTAGGGGTAGGGTGGGGGTGGAGGTGTGGCAATGGCAGTAGTGGTTAGGCAATGACGGTGGTGGTCAGGCAATGACAGTGGTGGTGAGGATGACATGGAGGCGTTAGTGGTGGTGGTGGGGTGGTGACGATGGTGGTGGTAATAGTGGTGATGGTCTTGGGGGGGGGGTGGTGGTGGTGGTAGTGAGGTGGTGGTGATGGTGGGGTGGCGGAGGCGACGAAGGTGGTGATAGTGGTGGTGGTGATGGTACGGTAGTGGCAGTGATGGTGATGGTGGAGCGGTGGGGGTGGTGATAGTGGTGGGACGGTGGGTGTGGTGAGGTGGCAATAGTGGTGGTAGCGGTGGCGACAGTGGTGGTGGTTGTGGTTTGTTGTGGTAGAGGAGGTGGTGGTGGTGGTAGTGATGATGGCGGTGGGGCGGTGGAGGGAGTAAAGGTGGTGGTGGGACGATTCTAAACACTATTTTAAAAAAAAAATATTTATGAGAAGTTATAAATTTTATAATTAGTAAAATTAAAAAGTCACGCAAAACACACCATTAGAGGCCTAAATTTGGAGTATTAATATTAACCGTCGGATTAATTTTAAAGTAAAAATTTAAAAAAATCTCAACCGCAAAAAGTAAAAACTATTTTTTTTTTGTAAGATTTGAATTGTATTGTATATATATATATATATATATATATATATATATATATATATATATATATATATATATATATATATATATATATATATATATATATATTCAATTAATGTTTAGATATATCTTAATATGCTTAACCACCCTACCAATTTTCTTGTCCTATCAATTAGCATAGGACTATAGTTAAATGATTATGAACTTTGGCACACCCTTCGTATACGTTACAAATACATATAGATAAGTTTTTGACATATTGAGCTTATTTTGCACTTTTATAATCTATGAAAATTGTGAATGCCAAGTTGTATAATCAAATGAGTGATCAATGATAGATCACTGATAGTTTAATTGTTTATATACATAAAACTATTTTCTATAGCATTTGCAATGAAATTATCAAATAATCTAATTCAAAGTATGAAAGTTCGTTGGATCAATTATAAAGAGTTAGAGTTTGCCTCATTTTTTGTCAAAGGTTCTAATTAATTAATTTTATTTATTTATATACGGTATCTAAATCAACATTTGACCCTTTGCTATTTAATAATTAAATAGCAAAGATCATTTAATAAATTTAAATATGTTTTTCAGTTTTATTGATTGCAAAAATAAAAAATTAACACTTCGGTTAGAGTGCCCACTTAGGACAAAATTTTGGGTTCCGCACGCCCCTGGTTCTGATCCTTGTAGAACATGAATTCTTTATGTAAACATTAATCCTTGTGCACGTATTTGCTTGTACTAACAAAAATCAGCAAAAGATTCATAGAAATTGAAAATTCATATGCAGGAGAAATTCCCCGAGAGATGGGTAATCTTAGTACTTTGGAGTTTTTATTTACAGAGGAAGCTGGCCTCACGGGTATGTAATCATGTAATCTTTCGCCTGTAACATCATTTTTAAAATGTCTTTGTGCTCATTGGTATGATTTTATTCACTTTCACAACGCACCGACCCATTTTTAATTATTAGATCGAGTTGTAACCTTACCCTTATTTTGTAGTAAATTTTGACACACTACTGAAATATAAGTCTTCTATACTATTAGTCTAAACGGTATCATTGTTACAACTTTGCAGAAATCCTCAAAGACTGACTTTATGGTTGTGGTTTTTCGTTTTGGCAGGTGAAATACCCCAGGAGATTGGTAACCTTCGCAATTTGGTGATATTAGTCATAGAATTGAACAAATTAAGAGGTCACATTCCAGCAACGATCTTTAATATATCGACCATGCAGGTCATTTCGTTTGTGAATAATCACTTGTCTGGAAATCTTCCATCAAATATAGGCCATGGACTACCCAATCTTGAAGATCTTCTTCTTGGAAACAATACTCTTAGTGGAGTTATCCCTAGCTATATCTCTAATGCTTCTAAACTTGTTCGTCTTGAACTCGTTTTCAACAGATTCACTGGTCCAATACCAAACTCACTTGGTAGTTTAAGACTCCTAGAGCTTCTGAACTTGGCATATAACAATTTGACAGCTGAATCTTCATCCTCGGAACTGAGCTTCTTTACTTCCTTGACAAATTGCCAACATTTGGAAATATTAGAGGTGTCTTATAATCCTCTAAATTGCATACTTCCAGCTTCCATGGGGAATTTCTCATTTGCTCTCCAAGTTTTTGGTGCGTCAGGTTGTAAAATCAAGGGAAACATTCCTGATGATATTGGTAACTTGAGCAATTTGCGACAATTAGCTCTAGATGGAAATGACTTGACTGGCTTACTGCCAACCACAGTTGAAGGATTATTGAAGCTTCAAGAATTATATCTTCGAGACAATAGGCTAGGCGGATCCATTCCAAATGACATTTGTAGTTTAAAGTACTTGAATGTCTTAGTTTTGAGCATAAACAAGCTCTCAGCTTCAATCCCTGAATGCTTAGGGAATATCACTTCTCTAAGATATCTCCATTTAAGTTCAAACAAACTAAATTCTGGAATACCTGAAAGCCTGTGGAACCTCAAAGATCTTTTGGAGTTTGGCGTAGCCTCAAACTCCTTAACTGGTTATGTATCTCCAGGAATTGGAAGTCTAAAGGTTGCAACGGTTATAAATCTATCGATGAATCAACTCTCAGGTGATATTCCTAGCACAATTGGAGGTTTGCAAAACTTAAAGGAACTCTCTTTGGAGCATAATAGATTGCAAGGATCTATTCCTGAGTCATTCAGTAAGCTGGTAAGCTTGGAATCCTTGGATCTGTCTCAAAATAATCTTTCTGGTGCGATACCAAAATCATTAGAGGCACTCCTATATCTTACATACTTCAACGTTTCTTTCAATAGATTAAGAGGAGAGATCCCCACTGGAGGTCCTTTCACAAACTTCACCAGGGAATCTTTTATGTCGAATGAAGCATTTTGTGGTGCTCCTCACCTACAATTCCCATTTTGTGATTCTAATTTTATCCATAGATCAAAGAAAAAAAGGGTGCTTTTAATTGTATTTATCTTGTTGGGGATTGCATCCGTAGTTATTGCCTTGATTGTCGCATTAGTACTGATAAGAGGCCGAAGGAGGAATCACATGCAGAGCCAATCTGATCTTTTACCCAAAATAATGAACGAAAGAATTTCATACTATGAACTTCAAAGAGCAACTGATGGGTTTAGTGAAAGCAACTTACTTGGAATCGGAAGTTTTGGCTCAGTGTATAAAGGAGTACTTGCAGATGGGATGCTTTTGGCTGCAAAGGTATTCAATTTGCAAATAGAAGGTGCATTCAAGAGTTTTGATACCGAATGTGAAGTATTACGCAACCTTCGTCACCGAAATCTAACCAAAGTCATTAGCAGTTGCTCTAATCTTGATTTCAAATCTTTAGTGCTCGAGTACATGCCTAATGGGAGCCTTGAAAAGTGGTTGTATTCTCACAACTATTATTTGGACATTATGCAGAGATTAGACATAATGATAGATGTGGCATGTGCATTGGAATATCTCCACGATGCCTTTGTAACACCTGTTGCTCATTGTGATGTGAAGCCCAGCAATGTCTTGTTGGATATAGATATGGTCGGACACTTGAGTGATTTTGGCATCGCAAAGTTATTTGGTGTGGAAGAGAGTCTTGTCCTAACCAAGACTCTTGGAACAATTGGGTATATTGCACCAGGTGATGCTTTTAACTTTTAGTTTACATTTTACATATTCTTTCTTTTTTTTTTTTTGTTTTTTCAAAGACTAGTTGAATTCTAGCGATTCAAAGACTAGTTGAATTCTATGATATGTTATCCTTTCCTTACCAACATGCAATACTCTTGATCAATGGATGCAGAATATGGATCGGAAGGATTAGTATCCACACAGTGTGATGTTTACAGCTATGGTATTGTGTTAATGGAAACGTTTTCGAGAAAGAAGCCAACTGATGAAATATTTGGTGAAGATTTGAGTTTAAAGGGTTGGATAAATGAGTCACTGCCAAATTCAATTAGCCAGGTTATAGATGCCAACTTGATATCACCCGGTGAGCCGAACTTAGTAGCAAAGCTGCAGTGTGTATCATCCATCATGGAGTTGGCTTTGGATTGTTGTGTAGAATACCCAGAGGAGAGGATCTACATCAAAGATGTTCTTGCAGCACTCAGGAAAATCAGACTTCAGTTTATAGCAAACTGCAGAAGGGTTTAATACATAAAGAATTATGTAACTTATCGCATTTTGCACAAAATAATTTGGCATGGGTGATGACCTTTTTTTGTCATTGTTCTATCTGTCTGCTCATATGTTCTGTCGTTGCAAGAGTTGAATGGCTTTGTGAGGTGCAAGTGCTGGTCGTTCCACAGCACTAAATCATTCAAACTCAGCAAAAATTATGTATTCGTGCATTATCTGGATAATTCATACTTTATGTGGTTGTGTATGCTGTGTATCTTGTCCAGTTACGTGTTAATGTATGTATTTTATCTTCAAATCTTTCCTAATTAGCTTCAAAAACAATTTAGGGTGAATACATTATACAGTTAATTGCAAATTGTATTTAGAAAGATCGTTCGAATCTCAATTTGCACCATCAAAGATAAAAATTTTAAATTTACATCCTCAAAGATTTATATTTGTATCAATGTGCACCTGAAACTAATAACCATCAGTTATCAATTTAAAACTAAATAGATAAATTATACCTAGACCCCCTCATGTTTATCACTTAACCACCTAAACTCCTCACATTTGAAATAGTGCACCTATATCTCCTGAGAATCTAAATATGACTAAAAATATTCTCCCAATTAGGCATTTAAATAATTCTCTTTAAGTGATGTATTGCATTAAATATAAATAATATTATATAAATACATGCATTATATTAGACATTCAAATAATAAGCTTTATTTTGAACTTTAGAGTATATCGAATCCACAAAATAAAGGATTGTATGAAAACTATAATTTTTTATTAGCATGCAATCATATTTTTTAACGACTATATTAACAAATATCAACGACAAAGGATTATATGGTACACATACACAAACGTTATAAGGTGTAGGAGTAATATTCTAAATGTGAGGGGTCCAAATGATTAAATGACAAACTTAAGGGAATCAAAGTGTAACTTACCCTACTAGTTTTAAACGGCAAGCTGACGGTTGTATAATGTAATATATATATATATATATATATATATATATATATATATATATATATATATATATATATGATAATATATTATTAATATATATTATAACATATAATATAATATATATTATATATTATGAGAGAGAGGAAGAAATAAAAAAAAAGGAATGAAGAAATTTGAAATTAAGGAGACTCGAAGGGCAGACCTCATTAAAGTCCAAAATTGTTTTCCTTGTTTTCAAAATTTTTAAAGAATACTCTTAAAACAAGTTAAACTTGTTTTCTGTTTCTTTGACTCAAATCTCATTTTTTTCTCAAAATTTTGAGAACAAAAAAACTAAACAAACAGATTTTTGGTATTTTTAAAATTTTGAGAATAAAAAATAATTTCCGAAAAACTAACCAAACATCACTCTAATTATCCTTTAGTGTTTCACGCCATAATCGACTTGATGTCAGTTACCATATGCATGTGTTCTGTCATGCAAAGGTTTTCAATTTTATATCAATATTCTTCGTCTTTCAAAATTTTGGCTTCAAATCTCAAAATGATTTCCTCTTTTGCGCGCTCAATTTTCCAGTATTGAAAAATTCAAAAACTCATATTTTATACTAGATCAAGATATTCAAATGTTTTAGATACTCATATGTGTGTGTGGGGGGGTGTGTGTCTTCGATCGTTGTTACTTGAGTTTTTTGCTTGAAAAAATATAATTCAGAATTTTTTTTTAATGAGAGTTATCAAATATTTTGATGCTCATTTTTTCAATATCATTTTAATTACAACAAAAAAAATTATGAATTGATGAATTTATTTGTATTATAAATTTTATTTTTCATGATTCTTTTATTTTGAATTATCTGTTTTAGTAAATCTTGAAATTTTAAAACTATTTTAGGTCAATTTATTTGTATTAATAATATTTCAATTTTTATTATATGTAACTTGAATTTATCCGCGTTATAAATTTTTTTCTATGATATTTTAGGTAAATTTATCTATTTTAATAAAACTTATATTTTTAAAACTATTACAAGTGAATTTATCTACATTAATGAAATTTTACTTTTTATTATGTATAATATGAATTTCTATGTATTATAAACTTTACTTTCCATGATTCTTTTGTTTTAATTTATCTGTTTTAAATCTTAAAATTCTAAAACTATTTTAGGTCAATTAATTTCCATTACATGTAAAATGAATTTATTTGTATTAATTTTAGGTGACTTTACCTTTATTAATTTTTAGGTGATTTTTTTTTTAAAGATATTTCAGGTGAATTTATCTATTTTAATAAATGGTTAATTATAATTTATCCCCTCCAACTATGCCTTTTGTTGTAATTAACATCCTATGATTTCAAATGTTACAATTTGTCCCCTCAAAGTATCAAATAGACAAAATTGATTGACGACATTGTTGGAACATTAAAGTACCAGTGCACACCCCATCTTATACATTATTTCCAATAATTTTTTTTTCATGGGATTCCAATTCTATCCTTTAAAAATAAGAAAACGGAAAAGCTAAGAATAAAAATATGTCGGCTTGGCCCAACACCATTTTTTCCTCCGCCTATGCCTCCACCTCCACCCAACATCTACACACATGCGCTAACACAGACAGTAGAAGCCATTCATTGTAGCGACAAAAATTCCTTAGTTAAAAAAATAATTCATCTCCATAGTTTAGCTTTTTAAAATTTCTAGGAACGATGATTATGGAAAGGACCGTACTTTGTAACATCGGCAACAATATAGTTTTCTAACATCATATACATTCAATGCTGGGGAATATGTTTATTATTTGTGTTAAACGGGCTAATCCATTGCTGACAATAAACTTGTTTTAACTATGATATTCTGATTCTATATTAGATTCGAGTTCTCTTAAT